CAACCCTAGCCTCTTGCTCTCGCAAGCTCCGTGGCTGCCGCCATTTTTCTTGGGACTTACCTTCTATAATTAAAACCTTGTATCCTTGAGTGGAGGCCTGGGCCAGCCAGGGTGTGTGGAAAGCTTGGCTTCCTCCATTGCCGGAGAAACCCAAGCCTCCCTCCTCCTCTCTGTGGCGGCAGACATCTTGATTGGGTTAATTTGCATACTCGCTCTAATTGGCTGGTGGGTGTGGCTTGTGGGTGTAGTTGAGTGGTGTTAATTTGCACATTACTATTTTAGTAGGTAAGATTATAAAAGTATAATTATTGTAGAGTATTTGGTAATATACAAAAGCAAAAATTACATAATAAAAATCAACTATGATTTTGTTGTAGATATAACCATATTCACATTTAAAATATGATACATAACCATATTTTTTACACACTTTGAATATTATATAGTTTTATGATCTGTTTACCTTACTCTGACATCTGCATTTCCCCATGTCATTAAATAATCTTCCAAACCTTGATTTTCAGTTGCTACCTCATAGTTCATTTAAAGTCAGAGGTGATTTAACTTTCCATTTTGTTGGATTTTGAGTCTCATTATTGTTACTTTGCTTTGATCCTTTTTGTAAAAAAATCCTTATCCACATTTTTATATATTCTCTTAGAACAGCTTTTTGGAAGAGAGTTTACTTAATCAAAATAGCTTTTAATACATGTGTTTAAGCCTTTAAAAAGCCATACTCTTTTCTCTTCCCACTGGTAGTGTGTGGGCATGACATTTCTTGTAAACATTATTTGTATTTTTTCTAATTAGTACACTTTATCTTTTAGAGCAGCTTTAGATTCACAGCAAAATTGAGCAGAAAGTATAAAGAGTTCCCATGAACCTGCTGACTCTGCATGCACCACCTCCCCAATACCAGTATCCCACAGCTGTGGTCCATTTACTACAATCGATGAACCTACATTTGACACATTATTGTCACTCAGTCTCTGATGTGTATTAGGGTTGACTCTTGCTGTTACACATTCTATGTGTTTTTGACAAATGTATAATGGCCTTCATTCACTACTGTAGTGTCATACAGATTGGATACATTGTCCTAAAGATTTTCTGTGTTTCCCTATGCATACCTCCTCCCACTAAACCCTAGAAACCACTGATTTTTTTTTTTTCCTGACTTTATAGTTTTGTCTTTTTCACCATGTGATCTAGTTGGGATCAGACAAAATGTATAGACTTTAGATTGGCTTCTTCCACCTACTAATATGCATTAAGTTTCCTTTTTTTATTTTTATTTTTATGGTTTGATAGCTCATTTGTTTGGAATAGTGTTCTATCATCTATATGTACCATCAAATTGATACCCTATTTTGTATGTCTTTAGTTACAGTGAAAATTCACTCAGGGGTATACCGATTCTCAAATGACGACAGAACAACAAGCTATTACTGTAATTAGTTCCACTTGCTGTGATACTTAAAACTTACGAAGTAGGATTATTTTTAAAAGTATATTTTTCCTGAATAGGCCAAAATTATAAGATTTTATTTGTCATCTATATATTTCTTAAAGATAGATTTTTGGAGCATCCTGTAAATATATTTTGACTATACCATCAACTTTTCTATACTCTTTCTGTATGAACTATTTTTCAGAGCACATATTTGATTATTTATAGCATTACTTTCCTGATATTCACAGTTCGTAGTTTATGTTTTACAGAACAAATAAGATATACTAGTTAAATCATTTTTAATTATACTGAACAGTGTATTTTAATTAATGTGGTTGGGTTATCAGTGCTGGTTTGCACTTATTTTAAATAAAACATGCAGATCATTTCTAAACTGATAGCCACTTTAAAAGAAAAAAGCTTTATATAATACATTAGTTTAGAAAATCAAGGTAATTTGTGATGTGAAGGTTAGAGAAAATGGAAGCTGTAAGAGAAAATTGAAAAGAGTTTTGAGAACTATTGGAGGGGCCTACTGACAAGTAATTGTGAATTTAGATTTTGTTTGAATTACCTCTCACATTTGTATTTTATAAAGGAAACTGAGCATAGTACAATGTACTTGGACTTTAGTAGTGTCTAGCACTCAAACCTTGGCTTCTAAAACCTCCCCACTGAAAGCTTTCCCACCAGGAGGGCTCCTTGAAAAAATGGCTGATTCCAAGGTTGCAAGCCTAGAACTTCTTGGAATGCCAGGAAGTAATGAAGTGCTTAGTGAAACCGATGGTGGCCTATCACCAGGCGATGGGGCCACTTGAAGAAGGTCCCACTGGCCAAGTCTGGGATAATTTTAGCATCAAAATAATTGAAGGCTATAATGAACTATTGCATATCATTAGGTAAAAAAAATAGGAATTTACATAGCCTCACCAGTAATATACCAGGTGTACCTGTTAATAATGCGGATTTTTTTTTTCAATAGATGGAGTTACACATATGTTGGTACGTATGCATTTGATATGTATGCCATTTTGTATTGACAGCAAGCTTCAAAACTTCATATGTCAAATATTCTGAAGGTGTTAACAGCATAGATATTTTTATGCTTAAAAATGTTGAATTTCATGCCAAAAAAAAAAAAAGCATTTGTGGGAAGTTTTAATTCATTATTTTGAAGCAAAGTGCTACTGAAAATTATCTTATACTTCGGGAAGTTTATGGCAAACATGCTCCATCTCAAGATACTTGTGAATGCTGGCTTAAACACTTTAAAAGTGATGATTTCGATGTGAAAGACAGAACGTCCAGGTCAACCGAAAAAGTTTGAAAACCAACAATAACAAGCTTTATTGGATGAAGATGTGTGTCAAACTCAAAAACAACTGACAGAAAGATTAAATGTTGCTCAGCAAACAATTTCAGATCGTTTACAAGCAATGGGAAAGATTATAAAGGAAGGAAAATGGGTGCCACATCAACTGAACAAAAGACAAATGGAAAACCGAAAAGCCATCAATAAAATGCTGCTTCAATAGCACAATAGAAAGTCTTTTTTGCATTAAATTGTGACTGGCGATGAAACGTGGATTTATACTGAGAATTGCAAATGCACATCATGGGTTGATCCACGTCCACCATCAACATTGACTGCAAAGCCAATTGCTTCAGAAAGGACAATGCGTTTGGTGGGATCAGGAAGGTATGGTGTATTATGAGCTTCTAAAACCAGGTGAAACCTTTAATATTGATCACTACTGACAACAGATAATCAATTTGAACCATGCTTTGATCATAAAAATACCAGAATGTGCCAGAAGACATGGTAAAGTATTGTTGCTTCATGCTCATGAACCATAACACACTTCAAAACCAGTTAAAGACATGTTAAGAGATCTTGCCTGGAAAATCTTAACCCACCCGTTGTATTCACCAGACCTTGCTCCTTCAGATTACCATTTGTTCCGATCCATGGCACACACACTTTCTGAGCAGCACTTCAAAACATATGATGTGGAAAATTTGGTCTCTGAAGAGTATGCCTCAAAATAAGAAAAGTTCTATTGGGAGGTATCCACAAATTACCTGAAAGATGGGAATAATGTGTAGCTAGCAATGGACATTACTTTGAATAAAGCGCTTTTGATGTTTCTCTTGAAATTATTGTGTTTTCTTTGGTTACAAAATCTGCATTATTAACCAGTGCACCTGGTATACATTCATACAAATGGGAGAATTAAGGGCTCAAGAGCCAGCTGATAAATATGGAGGAAATACTGGATTTGGAAAGTCACAATTTTATCACCATCACAGTAATTCAGTTTAACCAAGACTCAGAAGCGGATCTTTTTTAAAGATTGTTTCTTCCATGAGCTTCTAAAAACAGGTGAAAGAAAAAGGGAGAGAGAGAGAAACATTGATGCAAGAGTGAAACATCAATATAATGTCTCCTGCTACTCTAGTCCCTCCCCACCACCTCCAACTGGGGATGGAGCCCTCAATCCCAGGCGTGTGCCCTGACCAGGAATGTAACCAGCTTCCCTTCTCTGGACAGCGCCCAACCAACTGAGCCATGCACGGGCCAGGGCTCACAAGTGGATCTTAAATCTAGGGGAGAAATGTTGATGAACAGCAGGAGATTTACAGGGTTTTAAAGTGTCTGTCCAAAGGTTGCCTCTTCGTTACAGGGAAAAGGTTTTAAGTAAACAGTAGGAACATTGGACAGCACTTGATCTGGGCAATGAAAATTAGCATCACCAGTTAGGGACAGGAGAAGACCATATGCCTCTGGATGTGATATCCTGAGAAGGACACATCATCTGTGTACTGTCCTGGCCCGGAATGCACCACCAGCGTCTAATCCTGAGGAAATATCAGAAAAGTTCAAAATGATGCACATTCTATTAAAAAAAGAATTGTAGTTTTAAAAAATGTTAATGTTACGAAAGTCAAAGAAAGGCAGAAAGGCTCTATATTAAAGAAGAGTAAAGGTGCAGGACATACTTAGATGATCCCAAGACTGGATCCCATAACTGGAGAAAAATTAGAAGTTTGTTTTTGTTTTAAAAGCATTCTTGGATTAGTTGACAACATTATTTTGCACATTGTAGGTTGAAGTAATGTGTTAATACTATATTTACTAAATTATAGGTGTATTGTGATTGTATACTGGGGATTATTTTAGAAAATTCATGTATTTATGGGGTAATGGCTCATAAAAAAGCACTTTGTGTATATGTGGGTGTATGTATACATAGAAAGAGAAAAAGGGTGAGATGAAGCATATGGGGCAGAATGTTAACAGAAAGAGATCTGGGTAAAGTAATATGATGTTCTTTGTTGCAAGTTTTCCATAGATTTGAAGTATTTCCAATAAGTTTATACATATGCATGCACTCATTGGAACTTACCTCTTATTACTCTAATTTGCTAATTTACCTTTAATATTTAATTGATATAAGCTTTTTTTTTAAAAAAAAAAAATTGGTAATAGCTTTTAACATTCATTGCTTACAGATATACGCATTGATCTTTAATTTCTTTTAAATAGTGCTGGGCCTAAAGGAGATAATATTTATGAATGGAGATCGACTATACTTGGTCCACCAGGTTCTGTATATGAAGGTGGTGTGTTTTTTCTGGATATCACGTTTTCATCCGATTATCCATTTAAGCCACCAAAGGTAAGAACCCAGAGGTACATTCTTTAATATTTATCCTTCTCTAAAATCAGTCTATTTCAGAGGTTAAATGTGTATTAATGCAGTCATTTTAACTTTTTTTATGAGTGATATGAAAACTTTCATGTATTAAGATATAACTGAAAGTAATTGATTTCTGTCTGTTACAAATAACTGTAATCAGCAGAAAGAGGGTATATTAACTATAAATAAAAGTATACCATCAGAGCCGAAACCGGTTTGGCTCAGTGGCTAGAGCTTCCGCCTGCAGACTGACAGGTCCCAGGTTCGATTCCGGTCAAGGGCATGTACCTTGGTTGCGGGCACATCCCCAGTAGGGGGTGTGCAAGAGGCAGCTGATCAATGATTCTCTCTTATCGATGTGTCTAACTCTCTGTCCCTCTCTCTTCCTCTCTGTAAAAAAAAAAAAAAAATCAATAAAATATATTTTTAAAAAAAAGTATACTATCAGAAAAGCAGATGGATTTTTGATACGAGGGAAAATATTCTGTGAACTTCCTTAGAAAAATACTGGGATTCAAAAGTAAACCTGTTTAACAGCTTCTAGAAATAAAGGGTTAAATAACTTGAATTTTGTGTTAAATACCTTATCTTTATAGATTAGCAAAATCTAGAAAACCATGGCAAAGAAGAGGGAAACTAATACCATTTAGTAAATGTATGTTGTGCCCTCTGTTGGTAGCATGTAGTAATGGGAATGAGGGTGGCTGGGTGACTTAATGCCTTCTTGTTGTCTCTGAATATGAATTAGATGATAACAGAGAAGGGTTGAATTGTGCTTTGTAATGATTTGCAATTATTTGTCAAGTTGAACATAACCATTATTTAAATAAATTTCTCCTCGGATTTCTCATTATAAAATAAAACTGTCAGGCTAGCGGGTAAAACCACCAATATTAAGCCTGAGCGTAATTTTGTTTCAGAGATTTCTGACATGCTAGGGAAACCCGTGCCATCAAGCCCTTAACTGTGATAAAACTTTTTCCTTTTCAACATAGTTCATTTTGTTGCCAAAGCTGTGTAAAATATAGATAGCAATTTAATGCCTGAAAAAGAAAAATATAAAACCCAGACAGTACATTATCTAAGAAGGAAAGAATATTCCCTCCAAGTGCTATTTACCTTAAATTGCAGATATCAAGGCTTCCCAGCCCCTAGAGCACATGTGTCAAACACAAGGCCCGAGGGCCAAATCCGTCCCGCCAGGCCTTGCAATGTGGCCCGCACCGCGCTGTCATCACTGCACTCCGCTGCATTTCCATCACAATGACAGTTTATGACTGTTCAGTATACCATTCGGCCCGCGATTTAGGCTGGATTTTAGATTTTGGCCCCTTCTCTGATTGAGTTCGACACCCCTACCCTAGAGGTATTAGCTCTCAAATATGGCCATCAGTTTTTTGAGTATTTTCTTCTTTGGTCCCATCAGAATTTAAGATCTTTAAATGGTTGCCTTAATGCTCTCAGTTATATAGTGTATGTCTTGCTAGATCAATCAAATAAAGGCATAAGACCCTCATGTTAATAATAACATAAACTTGATTCATATTCACATGACATGTTAAATGGCAGCATGTCACCAACTGTTCAACTGCATTCGGTATTATAGAAAACAAAACTTCAGCAAAATAGCTCATTACTATATAGTGATATTTATTTTTACATGCCTCATTTTGCATATTGGAAAAGTGATTTTAACATGATAGAAAATTAACAAAAAATTTGCAAGATTTATATTTTTCAAAATAAACTTTGTACCTTAGTGGAAATCTGTTGAAGAAAAAGACTTCTTAGTATCTTTAATGGAAAATAGAAATTGACTGACTGAAATAAAGGTTTCAAACTGTGGTTACCTATCTGTGATTTATCATAATTGTTTTGGTTAATATTTTAAAAAATTAATTTAGCATGTAAGTATTTTTACTGGTCTCATTTTAATTTTCTAACCCTTTAATGTTTATTAATTCCTTTTGCCTAAGGTATCATATACAGTATTATGAAGCATTCAGATCTCTAGGTGGACAAGTGAAAAAGAAATAAGACTTCTGTTATCTTAGTGTTAGGTACAATTATTTCTCTGCATACTGATTCTTTTTGAAGTTCAGAGAAGGTATTGAGCTTCTTAAAGAATAATAAAAATTTAATTATTTTGTTCACTCGTTAATAGCTAAACACATTCAAAATATTAATTGTATTGTGTTTGTAAACCATATAGTCAGCTGTCAATAATCTGAATATGTGTTATTCCTGTATTAAATAGCAGAACTGTCTAATATAAATATAATGCAAGCTACACATGTAATTTTAAATTTTCTAGTAGCTACATTAAAAGAATAGAAATAGTGAATTAATTTTAATAATATATTTTATGTAACCCAGTATATCTAAAATATTGTAATTTCAAGCCTGTAACCAGTATAAGAGGGAATTTTACATTCTCTTTTTGGTATTGAGTCTTTGAAATATGGTGTGTAATTTACACTTTTATCCCTTTTCAATTCAACTAGCCACATTTTAAGAGCTCTGTGTAACTAAATTAAAGCAACTCTAGAGGTTCATGATCCCCTCCCTTTACCCCTGCAAGGCCAGTAGTTTCTTCCCCGTTACCTTTAATTTTTTTGTTTTTAATTTTGTACCCTTATCAGAAATACATATTTGAGGACTTTAATATTTTCTTCCCACACTCCATTGGGATATTATACTAGTTCTAAGGGATCAAAAACTGTCCTTTCCCCCCCCTCCCCCCCAAAACTCCAAATTGAGATTAACTACTCAGTGTTTGTGATTGTTTTCAAACTTGACAGTATTTGTTCCTAGGATTTATCCTTTTTTTTTTTTTTTCATGCATCTGGAGATACACTTTCTTTATTCAGTAGCTTAAGACCTTGGTTGTTTTATTTTACGTAATTATCCAACGAGACAGTGAGCCAGTTGTGGAAATAAAAGAGTAAGAAATAGGTTAGTGATTTAACCAATCTTCCTCTAAATTCTTTAGTATTTTCTGACATATGGCAAGAAATTAGCTGAGTCGATACTGATATTTTCTACTAACAAACTAATATAACTTTTCACTTTATGTTTAAAAAGTTCTTTACCAGACGAAACAGGTTTGGCTCAGTGGATAGAGCGTCAGCCTGCGGACTGAAAGTCCCGGGTTCGATTCCGGTCAAGGGCAGAATGTACTTTGGTTTCGGGCACACCCCCAGAGGGGAGTTGCAGGAGGCAGCTGGTCGATGTTTCTCTCTCATCGATGTTTCTAACTATCTCTCTAACTCTTCCTTCTTCTCTGTAAAAAATCAATAATATATATATATTTTTTAAATTAAAAAAATATATTTTTTCCTTATATTTAAAAGTTCATCTATCTTTGACATCAACACATTTTTGTTTTTCCCTTCTGTCTTTAAAGAGGTATTGTGTGCACTCATGCTTGTGTGTTTGGTGTGTACACATATACATACATAGAATTGCCGTGTCATTCATTTTAATTAAACTAATTAAATCAGCTACTCACGTTGGTTGAAAATCAATATAGTTCTTGTTATACTGGGTAAAAACCAGATAATTTTTTTAACCAAATTAAAATGAAACCATTTGATTCTGTTAGCACTTAAACTCAGTATTCTATTATCTCTTCAGTTAAATTATTTGCTATTTAGTATCATGTGATATGTTACTGTTCATTTTTGCTGGTGAGAGTCTTAGTTGGTAAGAAAGCATTTAATTTTCTTCCTGTTTGTAACGTGACTGCCCTTAGGTTACTTTCCGCACCAGGATCTATCACTGCAACATCAACAGTCAGGGAGTCATCTGTCTGGACATCCTCAAAGACAACTGGAGTCCCGCTTTGACTATTTCAAAGGTTTTGCTGTCGATTTGTTCTCTTTTGACAGACTGCAACCCTGGTAAGCACATCTTTATTACCACATACAGTGAGGTTGTAGACACCAGTGCATTTTCTTGGTAGATTTGGAAAGTTAGTACTGTTGGTGGAAAGATCAGCATAAAAGATTAGCAAGGAAATTATCAATGCCATTTCTATTAGAATAGACAAAAGTTTCACAATAACTACTAGCCTATACTTATTTTCTGCTTCTCATTGATGGACTGCTGTGTTTTCTGAGGTGTGTACCTGTACAGACCATTTTGACAGCAGTAAAGTGATGTCTCTAACTCCAGTGCCTCCTTTTCTTCTTCTCTGCCTCCATGTGCATTAAAGCAACCACTTAGTAATGAAGAACTTCTTGTTTTCTATTCCTTTTTGGATTATAGTTTGTTGTATTAGATGTAGTAATAGTGAAGAATATTAAAAAACTAGGTAATGAGATTGTTGGACTAGATTATGATTATATAAACTTAGAGATTAAAGTTATTAGGACATAATTTGTAACATTTAAAAGAAATACATAACTCCTACATGTGATCTTTAACTGAGGAATTGAAAAAAATGGAATTTTGTATGTTATTTCACTGAGGGGTCAGTTTTTAAAAGAAGTTAACTTACTTTTTCTAAACATTTGATTAGTCACCAAAATCTATCACTACTATCTTTTGCCCAGCAGTTATACATATATAATAGATAGATAGATAGATAGATAATTATAACATCATTTATTACAGCAAAAGATTGGAAACCACCTGACTGTCCATTAATAGAGGTTCTACCTATTAAAAAGAATGAGACAGCTCTTTATGAACTGATAGAGAAAGCTTTCTAAGATATATTAAGTAAAAAAGTAAGACACTGGGCAGTGGGGAATATGGCAGATTGCTGTTGAACACTTCATTGTAAAAGTGACTCTAGAGCAGCCCAGTTTGGTCCTCAGTATTTTAGTCTTTTTAGTTTCTATGTCATTCAGCCTGCATACTACAAATTGTATCACTTTCTAGAAAACCAAATGAGTTCCCAACACTACTGACTCAGCATTGCTTCATGTATTAAATTGGCAGCTGCACTTTATGTCTGCACTATTACGTAGTGCATTTTAACTTAATTTTTCCAGCAACATGTTATTTAAGATGTATTGTTGAGAATTCATTAAAATTAGTTCTGTGTGAAGCAGAATAAATGTATAATGTGGAGAAAAAAGAAGTAAGACACTGAAAACACACACATATGCATAACGATGTATTCTACATGCTTGTACACATGTATATCTCTGGGTAGAAACGCTGTAATCAGGTAACGATCACTTGCCATGGAAAAAACTCCTGAGTAATGGACGTTTATATCTCAGATTCAATTTAAAGCAGAATGGTAAGTTTTCATTTGGAGATGAGGATATTTGAGTCGACCAGGGCTGGGGATGAACCTGCAGCTCAGGTCTGTGCCTTTGACTGGGAATCCAGCCTGGGACCCTTCCCTGTGCAGTGCAGCTCGACACTAACCACGGAGCACACCGGCCAGAGCAGCACACTGATCACTGAATAAAATGCCAAGAGTAAAAAACAGTTTTTGTATATTAAAAGTATACCTCTTTTATTAACACTCATTTTTTAGTTACAGGGCCTTTAGCTAAATTGAATATTAATATTAAGATGCTGCTAAAACTCAGCATTTCCGTTTAATAGAATGTTAAAACTGTACCTTTTAGATATCTAATATTTTTTATTCTTCTTCTCACTTTTCCAGCGGATCCTCTGGTTGGAAGCATAGCCACTCAGTATTTGACCAACAGAGCAGAACATGACAGGATAGCCAGACAGTGGACCAAGAGATACGCAACATAATTCACACAATTTGTATGCAGTGTGAAGGCGCAGAGGCATCTTCTCACTGTGCTGCAAATCTTTATAGCCTTTACAATACGGACTTCTGTGTATATGTTATACTGATTCTACTCTCCGCTTTTATCCTTTGGAGACTGGGAGGCTCCCCGAAAAGGTAAATGCTGTCAAGGGTAGAACTTTGTAGCTGTAGATTAGTTATGTTTAAAATGCCTACTTGCAAGTCTTGCTTCTTTGGGATATCAAAATGTATTTTGTGATGTACTAAGGATACTGGTCCTGAAGTCTACCAAATATTATAGTGCATTTTAGCCCAATTCATTATCTGTATGAAGTTATAAAAGTAGCTGTAGATGACTAGGAATTATGTCATTTGTATTAAACCCAGATCTATTTCTGAGTATGTGGTTAATGCTGTTGTGAAAAATGTTTTACCTTTTACCTTTGTCAGTTTGTAATGGGAGGATTTCCTTTTACCCTTTGTAGCTCAGAGAGCACCTGATGTATCATCTCAAACACAATAAACATGCTCCTGAAGGCATAGTTTCCTGTCGTACTATTTTAAGTCAGTCTTGTTAGAAGGTGTGTCTGAGATGATTGTTGATGAAATAAATTACAGATATGAAGATGACTACTAAAGACCAGTACAAATAAATTATTAAATAGAAAACATGTGGAATCTTATTAAATGTGTATAATTGTTTTTTTGTTTTCCCCCTTTAAGTCCTACTGAGAGAATATAATGAACTTAAACATGGAAAACTGGTTTTTATTTTTTGTTTGTTTATTTCTCACCCGAGGATATTTTTCCCATTGATATTTAGAGAGACTGGGAGGGAGTAATGGGGATTGGGAGTGTGTGTGGGGGGGGGGGAAATGCAAAGTAAGAGAGACACATATTGATCGCCTCCTGTAGGTACCAACTGGGGCTGGGGATAGAACCTGCAACTGAGAACTGAGGTTTGTGCCCTTGACTGGGAATTGAACCCGAGATGCTTTAACCATTGAGTTAAACTGGCTAGGGTGGAAAATTGGATTTTAAAGCTTTTGGTCTCAAAAATATATAAAGCTCTATTTTGATAATACGATATTTGCGGTAAAAATAAAATGAAATTCAGGCTCACTCAGGAATCTGATATTGTCTTATGGAACATTTCATTTCCAAATTTGGTGATATCTCCACCATTGGAAAATATTGTCAATTGACATAATCTGGTTGCTGTTGTATGTCTTGGTGCACTTTTTTTCGTTTGCTTCTGACCTTGGTCTTGAATGTCTATGGTGTATTGTGTGCATTTCCATTCTTACTGTGGCACTTGGCCAGCAGTTGTAGCCAGAGGCAGAGTTGAACACGGAAACCTTTTTCTGCCTGAAGGTAGATGAGAACTCTGGATTGGTGTACAGATGTGGCTTTTTTTCTCGATTGCAAACATACCAAATCTTAATGGTTTCCCAGGTTATATAATTCCTTCTTTCTAGTTGCATCTGTTAAATATTAGATTTCTTAAAAGGAGTTAGAATTGCTTTGCAGTATTTAGATATGATAAACAGTATAAATGTGCTACACTTTCCCTATGACAGGGATAAGTTCTGAGGTAATTCTCTGGTCATAGAACCAAAGTTGTGGAATATGAGGCACATGTCTTTTCCAGTCCTAAATAAGGAAATAGAATACCATCTCAAAATTTATAGAGTGAAATTATTAGCATAAAATGTATAGCTTCAAATAATAAAGTAACTAAGAATAGTGGTCTCCTATTGAGTGTCAATAGAAGTATTAAATTGGGGTAAAAGTAAAATTATTTGAAAGTCTTTTCACTTAGACTCTTCCCTTAAAAAAATCTCTCCATATTACAAAGGAACGCCAAACAAAGGGAGTATTTTGAAGAATTTAGGCCTAAGCCTATGAAAACCTCTAAGCTTTGACTATATTAAGTAAGTGGTGACCAATAATCTGTAATGGAGTCCAAGTTCATGTGATGAAAGTGGGGGCCTTTCTATAAGCTGCCAGGCTTTCTGTGTCGTTCAGCTGTAGGAAGTAGTTTTCCCCACTCGCAGTGTTGTCCATTCTCCACCAGGAAGTATTGCGTTTCTCTCTCAGTGCTAGAAACGCCTTTGTTGCACTGAACGTTAGGATGTCTGGGGATGCCGTCATTAGACTTTCTTCATTTGCTATCATCCTACAGACTGTCACAACCCAAGTTTGCTTACTTGTGGGCTGTGTTCTCAACTCACCTGGGGCAGAGCGGGGGGAATTGGTTCCTTGGAAGTATTTGTGGCTCTTGCACAAACTACCTTGGGGGGTGAAATAGATACTTAAACTTCTTTGAGTTTCAGTTTTTTCGTATGAAACAAAAGAGCTGAATTTGAATATTTCCATGTCTCTGTTAACCCTCAAAGTCCTCAGGTAATTCTAACCTTATAAAATTTGTTCTGCTTGTTCTGCTCTCTCTGTCAGGGAACAGGCTACAGCTTTAAATGAACTAAAATAAAAACCAACTGTTTGGTTTCCTCTGAGGTTTCCTTAAAATTATGAAATGTTTAAATCTCTCTACTTTTGAAAAACTGTAGCTCCACTTCCCAGTTACATAGGTAGTATTCATCTGTGTACACTTAAATAAGGGCCTTTTTTCCTTGAAACTTTGCTCTAGATACAAATCGTAATATTTCTAAATGCAGACTTTTTTTTTTTTTTTCCCATTAAGAGCAAATTTAACAAGTTAAAGTCTAAATGTATTCAAGGATGGTCATGGCACCATGCATTCCATTGAGCCTGGAGTGTTCTAAATATGATCATTCTAGAGGCCCAGTGCCTGGATTCATGCACATAGAAAGGAAATGAATTAGAAGAAATATTTTAGAGGCTGGGGAGAGACCACAGGAGATGGGCCAGCAGGGGAGGGACTGCAGGAGAGCTCCAGGGTGTGTCAGGCTCATCTCGCCCAATCCCTATTGGGACTATCTTGCCCAGTTCCAATTGGCCAGACCCCAGCAGCAAGCTAACCTACTGATCGAAGCGTCTGCCCTCTGGTGGTCAGTGCACATCATAAAGACTGGTCAAATGAATGATTGGACACTTAGTATATTATGCTTTTATTATATAGGATGCTGTCAGATACAGCTATGCCAGGTACCACTTAGTTAGGGAAGGGCCCTAGCTCATCTAATGTCCCCTAAAGAGCTTTGGGAGAGGAGACATTGGTGATCCTCAGTTGATAGTGAAACTGCTGCACAAATGGGCTAAATAACTTGTCCCAGATTATGCAGCCAATATGATGTGCAGGTAGAGCCTCTATTCTTCACAACTAAGCTAAGAGTTTTTGTAATAATATCATAGTTAATATTATTGATAACTTACAAAAATTATTCAGTAAGATAAGGTAACAATTTTCTATTTTAGTAAACCCTCATTTTAATAGTCTATTTTAAAAGTCTTGAATGGGACCTTGCAAAATAAGACTTTATTTGTACTTTCCAATGAATATGAGGTATGTTTATTTAGCTTCTGACTTAGACACTGGTCATAGAAATACTTTTAATATCATTGATAAATGATGTTATTTTAAATCTGTTTAGCCATAAATCACATCAGGAAATCTACCTTTTCCACAATAACTAGATGTATTAGTTATCTAAACATTGTTTTCTTATTTTTATTTTATTTTATTTTTTTTGCTAGGAAATCTTAAGTAATCACAGGGTTAAAATTGTGCGTTGACTAATGTACATGCTACTCTTTATAACAATGTTGAGGTGTTGTGTAGTTGAACTGAGTCCACTAACTTGCCCACGTGTATTCTTATGTATATAAATAAAAGCTGAAGTGACCATCCAACCGTTGGACCAGTAACTATGATGTGCAATGACTACCAGGGGGCAGACGCTCAATGCAGGAGCTGCTGAGCTGCGGTGACTTGGCAGCTGCGATTCTCAGGTATCACATTCGAAACCAGAGAGGAGGGAGCCTGATTCTGGGGTGCGTCACCAAGAACCTCCCTCTTGCAATCTGGGACCCCTTCAGGTGCACAAATCCGTGCACCAGGCCTCTAGTAACAACATAAGAATGACTCTCTTGTAAAATGTAAGTCAGTTTCAGTCATACAGACTTCAAATGTTAACCTGCATTAGAATCATGTTAATGTAGTAGTATACAAGAACAGTTTCAGTTGACCTTTATATTGTGGTCTTTGGAAAGAATTATGGCATGATATGAAACTATTTTTATAAAACCATTGAAAATTATCTTAAAAGACTGAGCTGATTCTACAATAATTACATTATCTACATATATTTTCATTAGTGTTCCTTATTTTAGATAAATAGAATATATAAATAATTTGTTTCATGTCTAAATGAAGTTTTTTTTTTTAAGTAATACCCAAATAAAAAATAATTCATAGTTACATTTTAGTAGATAGGCACTATTTGAAACATCATTTTTTGTTGTCAGCTTTTGGTGGATAGAGTTCTTCAGTGATTTAAATGTGTACTAGAATGATTGATAGAATGTTTCTACCGTGGACTGATAGTTCTTTCAAAATGGTTATAAAGCGAATGTCTGGAACTGGTTTGTAAACTGCATTGCCAACCATGTTAGGTGGTGTTAACGCCTCGTCAGATAGAATTGGTCTTGTTAATTAGCCATGAGGAGTGATCTTCTGCCTTCTGCGGCGGGTGCATAGGGACACACCAGGGCTGGCTTTCCTCCTTTCCTCCCTGATGGTGACACTGAGCCCTTCTCTGAAGGGAGTAAGTATCCTGGTTTCTAGCAGTATCTCTCTTGTTTTCCTTTGCCCACCTCCTGTGTTCTCAATATCTTGGGGTTTCAGTAGCTCATGTGACTAGATGCCCAAGGCGATAGTTAAACGATAATATGCTTTTCGTAAGACCAAATGTAAGAAGCTAAGTTTGAAAATAAAGTAGAAAGGTAACATTACCCAGAATCAGGCACAGGGACCTGTGAACAGTGGTTAGTAATTAATTTAATTAGATGAGAACCAGTGATTTGACTGCTTAGGCAGCACAGTCCTGGGTGTGTTTAAATCGTCACTACCTTTAGGTTACATTGCTGAAAGTCAATGAGGCTCAAGTCCTGTTTATGCAGGTCTACCCACCACAGAACATTAAAATCATTCCACACTCCTCCCCCCCACAAATCCTTCCATCCCTAAAGTTTATCTCAAGTCCCACAACTTTAATGAAACCATTCCATCCACACCCCCCAACCCCTCAAATCCTTCCATCCCTAAAGTTTATCTCAAGTCCTACAACTTTGATGAAACCATTCCATTTTGCTATCACGTGATTTCTATCTGTCAGCGTGTTTCTCTGAGAGTCCGTTTCTCTCTCTGAGACAATTGTCTGCACAAACATCAGAAATAATAAATTCAGCCGAAACCGGTTTAGCTCAATGGATAGAGCGTTGGCTTGGGGACTGAAGGGTCCCGGGTTCGATTCCGGTCAAGGGCATGTACCTTGGTTGCGGGTATATCCCCAGTAGGGGGTGTGCAAGAGGCAGCTGATCGATGACTCTTATCCATG